GGTTTACAGGAGAAGGAAAAAAAGGTTATATAATCTAGTGGAGGTTGGAAGCATGTTAACGCTGCAGCCACCTTAGTAAGAACCCATTTAACTGCTGGTCGATGCACAGACCCGATCGACCAATTAAATGTTCATACCTTATTGTTGAGTCAACATGAAATTTATCATTAGAACAGAATAGAAAAATTCCATCCACCCAATAAATGGGTCACAAGGATTAGAGACAAGTCTTCTAGGAGCACAGCTCACTGCTCTCTGCTGTTTGTGAAGGGAGTGGTTGAGGAGTGTGCCAACTATGGGTTTATAATCATTACTTCATTTTTACTCTGCGACTCTATCTCACTGAGCAGGATAAGAAAACACTTCATGCATGTGAGAGAAAAAAGGGTGAAATCTCATTAATGACCATTAGAGGAAGAGCTGGAGAGTCCACACAGCACTTAATGTTTCTGCTTCCCTTCCTCGCTTTTACAGCAGATGAGGCATCGATGGAGCAAATGAGGAGAAAAGTGGCATATAGAAGGCGGCGGTGGAGGAGGAGGGCTGTGGTGATGAGACAAGGCTTTGTAAATTTTTTAGGCAGCAATTCTCTTTTCTCATTTAAAGACAATTAGGCAGTTTAGACGTCTTTTCACGCTGAGAATCTGAGCTGACCTCCTGCTAACACTCCGTCTTCCTCTCCTCCTCTGCTACTCATCTCTCCCCTCTACCACCTCCCTCAACCTCTTCTGCACTTTAACTTTGGATCCCTCCAGCCCTCACCCTTCCTCCACACATCGTTCTTCTTCTCACACTGCTGCCTCTTCTTCTGTCTCTATCGCTTCAGCCTAATTGCACTCTCTCCCGTTCTCTCCCTCCCTCCCGGTGGTCCAGTTTTCCAGTGTCACTGCTGGTTTGAAGCTTCTCGTACTCATCACTCCAACCCTCTTATGCTTCACTTGCTTTCATCCTGTCTCTATGTGTGCCGCTCATATTTGCTTTACCTCTTCATCTCTCCAACTCTTATTTATTATTCATGAGTCTAGTTGGGGAGGGATAGATACATCTGCAGTTTTCAGAGGACCCCTGTGCCAGCTTGTGTGTGTGTGCTTCTTGTGGGGTGTTTTTTGTGTGTGAGTCTGGCTACTTTTGGTTTCTGCATTGGCGCAGTGAAGCAGCTTCCAACAGATTTTTCTCCTGTGGGCTGTGAAGGGATCTTGGAGCTGCACAAACAGGCCGTGGCCAATATAACGATAAGTCAAGGCTAATATATGGTAATGACTAGTGGCATGTCCAAATACATCAAGATGAAACAATGAAATACTAAAATCACAGTACAGTATACTACACATTTTAGTACCAAACAGTATGTTCTTCCAACAGTGTGACTGCACAGGGTCCTCAGGAATTTCTTTCCTATTGTGCAACAATTTTCGAAGTCTGAACTCACATACTGTACATCAGTACCCTTGTCACTCACCTACACAAATACAGTGATGACATCACAATCTAGGACATGAAAACATCAGAAGAGTCTGACTTACACCTGGGAGCCATAATGAAGGACAAAAGTTTAATCACCAAAACATCAGAGAAAAACATCTGTTTCTTCAGTTAATTCAACACCTGTTCCATGAAACCTCCATGTCAAGAGTGTCGGTAATGATTTGGGGCTGTATTTCAGCCAGTGCTATCAGAGCCTCATTCAATATAGATGGAGACGCCTGTGCCAAATATTCCTTTTAGTATCACGTGCTATCTGTGTTCAGTCAGGTCTAACCTGACTAGTCTCAGGAACCTTTACTATCTTTGGGGTCACATGGAACAGGAGCAGATGAAGAAGAATCCTAAGCAATACCTGGTAAAAACTATCTAAACCTACTATATTCTCCGGACTATAAGTCACTCAATGCCCTCTAGTGGCTGTCATTGTGAAAATAACAAACATGTGAAATTATATATTTTAATTTACAGTATAAGTCACACCTGAGTATAAGTGGCAACCCCTGCCAAAGGAAGAAAAGGTGTGACTTAGTCAGGAAAGTGCAGTATATGCCGTCTTCAACAATGACATACAGTATACAGAGAGAGGCTTGTTGTGCTTAGAAGATGAGTGCAGCACATCATAACAAGCTGCAGGCTTTTATACAAGACTCATAATCAAATGAAAGCATAAGCAACTCCAAATGTGCCTTTGGTCATTTGTGAGCTGTTTAATATTCAATATTGACTTTAAATACAGGGGCCTATAAATAAACAACACCCTGCACTCAGGCTTACATCCTGCTGAGCCTACAGCTGCTCCCAGCTCTGTAAGTACACACACACACACAGCATCACACACCTACTCTAAATTCTCACTGTTTTTCATCAGACTGCAACCACTTGTGAACATAATTTGCGTGGTAAGCCCTCCTTAATCAAAACGACTGGGAATCACTGCAGTCACAGATTAATTGCTTTTATGGATTTGTTTTGTTTCTTTAAGTTATGTTATGCCACGAAGAATAAAAATACAATATTTTGAACTGTTGTTGTGTATTATTCTGCACTGCGAGTGCTGCACCAACCCACCCTGTTTTAACTCCCTTTTATTTTTCTCTCTAACCATAGTGCCACACAGAAGTGTTCATCAGAGGGTACAATTAGCACCAGCATTTATTAGACTTTAGAACAACATACAGTATGTGCATCTCCAGGCCAGGTCATGGTCACAACAGTCCCAGTTTCAGATGATCACTGGAGCATCGCCACAACATCATAATAATAATTTGAACTTTATTGGTGCCACACGGGGGAAACTTGTGTGATAACATCAGCAGTGCTGCAACAGGCTGCACTATGGAACCATCTGCCTTCATCTGTTTCACATTGGGGACATAAATATTTTAGTTTTATGTCTCTCCATTTTTTTTCCTTTAAACAGTATACGGCAACATCGGGCAAACTCTGTCCAGATAGATAGATAGATGGAACTTTATTAACCACTCAGGATTCATTTGGGGAAATTAAGGATTATTTGACTAAAAGATGTGCTTTCAGTCTCCCTCACCTCTCCAAGTTGTTGCTAACAGACTTCGTTCTGACTGGTCAGGGTCTCAGCAGATACTGAATCATCCATTACTATGGAGGACTGAGTAATGACCTTTGACACTTGAGTCCCAGATTTGACTGAGTCATTAACTAGTTTCTTATGATTGTTTTCAAATCTCCGGCTACATTAACTTATTTTGAAATGGTATATTCATCAGTGTCACCTCCGGCCACCTGACAGTTACAATCCACTAATAGTCTACCATGTGTGCTATCACACTTGATGACCTTATAGACTCACTTACATGTATTAGTTCACGAGTGGGCAGATGGAGAGTTGATGTGCACTAAGATAACTGACATGTAAAACTCCTTCCTAAATGATGTTAGCCTTGACTACTCCTAGTGGCCGAGAGACGACTGATAGTGTGTTCTTTGAAAACCACAACAGTTTCTTGTCATATAAAACATAATAAACAATCGGCAAAGGGGTGGAGCAAAACATTCAAGCAGAGAGAAATACACTTTAATCCCTGGAGAACCACCATTTATTGGGGAAACAGTGGTACTGCAGGGAAAAACAAAATCACAGTAGTCTACTGATAGTATAATTTAATAATTATTTGGACAAGTTGGATGGAGCAGATTAAACAGCCTAATGGGCTCTTTGTGGCCCCTGGGCCATAGTTTGTCCGTGTCTGTATTAGACTACGGTCCATAAACTATTCCAAACCTTTTAGAAATGTTATGAATGTTCACAGTTCTTCACTGTCACACGTCTAAACACTTGGAACCCTATTTTTCCAACCTGTTAGCCACGTCATTTCTCTACATGAAGACGATGGTGATAACACAACGCTGCAGATAGGTTGTTTCTGCTGGGCTGATTTGGCTCACCTCCTCCCCACTGTGCTGCTAACAGCTAGGTGAGCCAGCTTCTATAAATAGCTCCCACCACATCCACCATTTCTGCAGCACACACATGCACAGGGTCATGCATAAATGCATGTGGCGACACACATGCATGAGAGCAGCCGTCTCATACATTAACAAACATGAGAAGACCCACACGCTACCACACTGACATGCTTTTACATTTTCTCTCCCTCTTTTTGTCTTAACTGCGCTCACTTGTTTCTCCTCCATTTCCTCCTGGCAGAGTTCTTCTACTTATCATATGCTCTGTAACAGATGGTGGACATGATAATTACCAAACAGACTAAACAGTAAGCAAATGTAAAAAAAAAATGAGATCACTGAGATTTTTTTTTTTTTTTGCACCTGTCTCTTTCTCGTTCTCACACACACACACACACACACACAAACAGTATGCTTTGCCACCTCAGTCAACCTGACAAGTTCTGGAGAGGAGAAATGGAATTCTCAATCATCGTCTTCACAGAAATCTTCCCACACGGGGCTGACGTAACTGAAACAGTGAACCTGACGATGACAGAGACGTCATATCTCCCCCATCAGTACAGTACAGCAGCTGCTGCAGTTGCTCTTTGCACCCAAAGCAGCCAACCCAATTAATGAGCTCAATGATTTTTAATGAAGCCCTTCCAGGGGGCGAAACATCAAGATCAAAATGCAGGTATGGTACAGTATTAAATCATCTACCTGACTACAAACCACCGCAGTTTATTTCATGCTTTTCATCTCTTCTCTTCATAGTCATTGGCTCAATCCGATTCTCACATTTATAGATTTTGGTCTAAAATTTCAGTATCAAACATTGAAAAAACAACTATAGCACATCTGATCCGATACCTAGGCCCAGGGTTGTCAAAATTAATTTGGTTTACGGGCTGCATACAACCTAATTAGATGTCAACCAGCACGGTACAATCATAACATGATTAACAATAATTCTCTAATTAATTAAATAAAATCAATTCCATGTTTTTCCCCTTTGTTTTCCTGCAAGTATATCAGATATTTATTATTATTTAATGAAATATAATTTTACAAAACTATATCCTGAACATGATGTTTGTGTAATTTTTATTTTCAAAATTCATCAAGTGGGCCGGATTGAACACCCTAACGGGCCGGTTTTGGGCCACGGGCCGTATGTTAATTAAAAACCTAGCACCACACTGTGAAATCAGCGAACACTCAATACACAGTTTAATAAAACACAATCTTTTGGCCATTATTACTGGAACTTAATAGAACAAAACAAAACTGAAAATTATTCTGTTTTGGTTCATGATTTCTGTTTTTGCAAAGGAAAACAATTAGAAGAGAAACAGAGCAGATGACCTACATGACCTACATGACCTACATGACCTACATGACAGTGTTTATACCCGACAGCTGCTGAAACATCTGGAGACCACAGCCCACAATCAGAGCCCGGCGTGTCGGACCGTGGTTGAGGATCTGCAGGAAGACGATGCCTCCTACGAACACGCACAAATATTTAGATATTTTTTCTCTCTGCTTGTGTGTCTTTGTAATTGTAGGTCCTTTTCTTTACGTGCTTCATAGATGTTTTTGTCTTCACAGACACATCTTTACCTGCGCCTGCGTCCTTCCCTTCCTCCTCGATGCTGGTCTTGATGGTGTCATACTCATCGTCAACGTTCTGGCCACCTCGGATCTGGCTGAGAACTTGCTGAGCCTCCTGGCTGCGGCCTTTTTGGAGAAGCCAGCGGGGGCTTTCGGGCAGGAATAAAAAGCCAACGAACTGCAGCACCGCAGGAAGACAGGAGAGGCCCAGCATGTACCTGAAGTAAGGAAAACACGTCTTTACACTTTTTAAGTCCCTGTTCAGGCTCTGATCTCATTTAGAATTATAACTGAAAAGCAGCCCCTGCCTTGACTGGTTGGTTTATTAATAGAAACTAAATCAATCAATCAATAAATAACATTAACATGATCTTGAACACAAGTGGAGTTTTCCCATCCCTTTCTGGACTGCAGCATTAATGCACACCGCCCCCGTGTGTCCAGTACTTAAAACAAAAGTAAATATTTGGCTGAATTTAATTATTTTGTACACTCTGAAAGCAGCAACATTTATACAGATTGAATAAATAGGCAGGTTAATGTCTTTGGAACCATAACAAAGGTAGCCACCTCCATCCTCCGGGGCTTAGGTAACTGAAGGCACCGTCCACCACACTGGAAATGAACTGACCACCAGTGATGAAGAGGGAGTTCACAGTGACAAGTTGACCTCTCTGCTGAGGAGGGGAAACTTCAGCAATGTAGACAGGAACAGTCATGGAGGCTAAGCCTGAGAGGAGGGAGAATATGAAAATATAAATATATTAAATTAGTCTACATAGCAGTGCCTTAAAGGTCAAAACACAAGACATAGTTCATACATATTTAAGATATTGCAGGATTATGAGGCTAGATTTAATAAAAGGGAAAAAGTGCAAAATTTGTAGGAAACAAAAATGAACAAAACAACACAATTAAGTTTCTACTGTAACTGCAGTAAATAGGGTTTGTAGTTTGTGCCATAAGCTCCAAATGTTTGGGTACCAAACCTGTACCGCCTTGAAAACACTCACCTATCCCGAGGCCAACTGTGACTCTGCCCACAAGAAGAACCACCTTGTCTGGGGCTGAACCCATGATGATGCCACCCACCGTGAAGATGAAACTGGACATGAGAATGCAAATCCTGCGGCCCAGCCCG